ATTTAGTGGGTATGTAGTTTTTGGCAATATACGGACTCTAACAAATCATTGTTGGAAATCATGCGAAATCTAAATCTGACACATCGAAGATTTTAGTTATATAACGAACAAAATTTGTAATTTATTATTTTGTACTCGTAATGCATGCAGCTAGAATGTGCGTATTTTAGTTATAGACGATAAAACTTCATAGACTGGATTCAAATCCATACGCGTAAAAACAAAGCAATAGCATTACCTTACATTTTTGTTAACCCCCTACAATTTGTGTTGTTGTTAGTTTTGTTCTTTCCATTTTATTGACAAGTTTTTTTTTTTGGGCATATTTATTGTCAATTTTAAGTAAATAAAATACTAGCAAATAACTTACATAGACAATTTTTTTTTTTTTGAATTTTCTTGAAATATGTGCCCATTTTTATGAACCAGTCATTATATTAATAAAATATTTATAAGTAAGAAAAAAAAAACATGTCGCATAAATTCGCTAAAAAGAAAGCTGTTTGAATGGAACTTGGTGCATGGGCAACAGAGATATTGTATTTTACAAAACAAAGAATAAATTCTCAGAGGAGGAAAAGCTTAAGCTTCTCTCAAACAACAACGAACCTCAAACCAGCTCTTGCTCAATCCATGGGTTTTCTTCTCCTCTCTTCTTAGATTTTTACAAGGTCAGTATACTGCGAATCCGCGCGGATTCGGGTTTTTGCTGTCTTCGATTTTGTTTTTGTCTACTAAAATCTATGAAATTGTTACTTGTAAGAGTCATTTTCTGAGATTCGAGCTCAAGATTCTTACTGTTGCGTATTATTTACTTTAATCAGAGATTAGCTCTCTGTTTTCAGTCTGCTAATTATATAATGAATTGGAATGGTTTTGCAGTGTGACTTCTTCAGAACTGAGTATTTTTGCTATTTATCATCTGGGAAAACTGGATTATTATTTAAACAAATCGCTTTCTATAGCTAGCTTGATTCTATTTTTTTTTACTTTACTCCATACTTTTGGCTAATTTTTCAGTGAAAATGGTTTCAGAGTGATATGAGTGATGATAATCTCCAAAAGATCTGTTTTTTACTCCGATCTTAGGAGTTATGATTGCGATATTTGATCTTGATTTTTTCCTTAGCTTATGCAGAAAAGTGGACTTATGAAACGTAAGGCGTAAAACAATGTTCTAGGATCACTATAAGCAGTAGCCAAGATGGATACGAGGTGTGTTCTGTTGTTAAAAAATCAATTCCTGTATTTGACCTCCTTCTAAATTTCCTAGCTTTTTAAGATATTATACTTTTGTGTAGTGTCCCCAGGCCTGGAGATAGAGAGTTCTCAAATGGTGATTTTTACTGTGGTGAAGTCAAAGGATTACTTCCTCACGGGAAAGGAAAGTATGCATGGTTAGATGGAACAATCTACGAGGGAGATTGGGATGAAGGGAAAATCTCTGGTAAAGGGACGCTCTTGTGGTCATCTGGAACAAAATATGAGGGAGATTTCTCTGGTGGATACCTTCACGGTGTTGGCACCATGACTTCACCTGATGAATCTGTTTATAGTGGAGCCTGGAGAATGAATGTAAGGCATGGTCTTGGCAGGAAAGAGTATTGTAACTCAGATCTATATGATGGTTCTTGGAAAGAAGGATTACAAGACGGTCGTGGAAGCTATTCTTGGACCAACGGGAATAGGTACATTGGGAACTGGAAAAAGGGTAAAATGTGTGGCAGAGGTGTTATGAGATGGGCAAATGGTGATCTTTTCGACGGGTTTTGGTTGAATGGGTCTAGACATGGCTCTGGAGTTTACAAGTTTGCTGATGGATGTTTATATTTTGGAACTTGGTCTAATGGCCTTAAAGACGGGAAAGGAGTGTTTTATCCTGCTGGAAGTAAACATCCATCTCTGAAGAAGTGGTGTCGCTCTCTTGAGTATGATGACACTGGAAAGTTTGTACTTTCTCGTACTTCTTCAGTGAACGTTGAGGAGCTAAGGAATCTGAGCTCTGTGACGAGGAGTCTTTCCGTGAAAACTTCAGCTAGTGGAACGGCCAAAAATTCTGGTAGAATATCGGATAGGTTTCAAGATGTGAATTTGAGGACCTCTGATGGAGATTTTACATGTCATGGCCCGTCATCTAAGTCTGCAAGGTCTTCTGGACCAGGACAAAGCGAGGGACAAGATAAGAACCGTATCGTTTATGAAAGGGAATACATGCAAGGAGTTCTGATTAGAGAGACTATTACGAGTTCTGTTGACAAGTCACACAAGATTAGACCTCCGAATCTTCCTAAAGAATGCAGGTCTAGGACTCTAGCGACCTTTTTAAAGGGGGATCATAATTATTATCTAATGCTAAATCTACAACTTGGTATCAGGTACACTAAATCACCACCACCCTATGCCTGTGACCATCATATGTTGAGACGTTTTTATTTTTTAATATCCTCTGCATACAACTCTAAGATTGCATTATAATTAACAGAACAACCTTTTTGAAGTTCACAGGTATACTGTTGGAAAAATTACGCCAGTGCCTAGGCGAGAAGTACGTTCTTCTGACTTTGGTAAGAAGGCCAGAACAGTGATGTTCTTTCCTAGCGATGGCTCCAATTTTACTCCTCCACACAAATCTATCGACTTCTCTTGGAAAGACTATTGTCCTATGGTTTTCAGGTAAATCAGTTTTCTTCAGAAAGATAACAAAGAACTCTAGATTCAGAGTAAACAATCTATCAAAGTGTATATTAGCTTTTGGGGCTGCTATCAATTTAAAACACTTGTAAGGAAAAACCAGAACTTGTATTATCTCTCTGTTGTTTCTCTTTATCAGAAAAAGTATCTTTCTTAATGATTGACCAATTATGAAACGAATGATTGTTTGTTCATTAAATTGATATCCTTTGCCTGTTTTTCAATGAAATGTTTCAGGAATTTGAGGGAGATGTTCAAGTTAGACGCTGCAGAGTACATGATGTCTATTTGTGGTGATGATGGCCTGACAGAAATTTCTTCCCCGGGGAAAAGTGGCAGTATCTTCTACCTCTCCCACGACGACAGATTTGTGATCAAGACATTAAAAAAATCCGAGTTGCAGGTTCGAACTATATGAACTTATTTGATTCTTGCTTCTCTTTAACTAACCATAGTGGCTCAGATATTTAGCATACTGTAAACCTTCTAAATATGTCAGAAGAATTTAGTATATAGCTAAATTTTCTAGTTTGGAGTGGTAACATTCAAAATGTCAATATTATAGATAATAAGGATTAATGTCATGCCGCTTTGTTGCTTTCTAGGTTCTACTCAGAATGTTGCCTAGGTACTATGGACATGTAGGGGAACATGAAAACACACTTATAACCAAATTTTTTGGAGTTCACAGAATAACACTCAAGTGGGGGAAAAAGGTAACAACTTCTATGCTCCCTTCCCTTTTATAGCTTAGATTCTATTGTGCTCCCATTTTTTTCTTTTTACCGTGAGATTTTGGTCTTTTGATAGGTACGCTTTGTGGTCATGGGAAATATGTTTTGCACAGAATTGAAGATTCATCGTCGATATGATCTTAAGGGATCATCACATGGGAGATTTACTGAAAAGATTAAAATCCAAGAAAAGACCACCTTGAAAGATCTTGATCTAGCTTATGAGTTTCATATGGACAAGCTGTTACGGGAGGCCCTATTCAAGTGAGCTCTTATTCATTTTTTCCTTAATTATTTCCTGCTGAGAAAGATAATGCTATACTCAGCTGAATGACAAATTGTCGGAAAATTTCTTGCTAAAAGGAACATCTAGCTTTATTTGACACGCCTATTTTCTATATAGATCTGCTTCCTGAAATCACTTAATAGTGCATCGATCCTAAGCAATGATTAAGAAGCTGTCTTTTGCATTTGAAAGTTTCTAATTATTTGTGGAACCTCCTTGTTTTCCCCCACATGGCAGGCAAATTTACTTAGACTGCGCGTTCTTGGAATCTCTGCACATCATCGACTACAGTCTTTTACTGGGATTGCATTTTAGAGCTCCAGGGCAACTTAATGATATACTTGAGCCTCCTAACGCAATATCAGATCAAGAGAGCGTTTCTTCTGTAGACGGTAGGTGTCAATGATTTAAACAAGATATCTTTTGTGTTTTCATGAGCTTGAATTATAGCAGATCTTAAGGAAAAGCTTTTTAGCCGCTGCATGCCTTAATATTAAAAGATGGTAGCAGAACCGAGCAATGAAGCAATGGGCTGTGTATAACTTACTATTTCATGTTTTTATTTTCAGTTGGTCTGGCTCAGGAAATCTCCATTCCTCCAAAAGGATTGCTCTTGGTGACTCACGAACCCAATTCCGTGAATACTGCGCCAGGTCCTCACATCAGAGGAAGCACACTCAGAGCATTTTCCGTTGGGGAGCAGGAAGTTGATCTTATTCTTCCCGGAACTGCAAGGTTACTCATTTCCTCTCTAGCTCTATTCATTTGACATGTCTTTTTATAGCTGAACAATGCCATTGCATCTACTGTTTTAGGTTGCGGGTACAATTAGGAGTGAACATGCCGGCTCAAGCTCATCACAAGCTTATTGAGGATAAGGAAGAGTCAGCGACAATTGAGCTCTTTGAAGTATACGATGTGGTTGTGTACATGGGGATTATAGATATTCTGCAGGAATATAACACCAAGAAGAAAGTGGAGCATAAATGCAAGTCTTTGCAGTATGATCCGATGACAATATCTGTGACCGAACCCACCATTTACTCAAAACGCTTTGTCGATTTTCTACATAAGGTATTCCCAGAAGAAAGGTAGGATCAGCTAAAATCTTGTAGATCAGCTGGTTTCCTCAGTGCTTTTATACATCCTCAAAGTACATTGGCATTTTATAAAACCTCAGTGAAAATTTCGTAGTTTTGTTTGTTTTCATTAAATTGGCTGTATAATCAATGTGCCTATGGATGATGCTTAAATTGCAATATCTATGGAAAATCCAGTGTATGGTTTTGATGATGAAACACAATCCGGAATCAATCTTATTGGATCATGGTCCAGTGTATTGTTTTCAAAAAGAAGAAGCGTTAATAATAATAATCGTTAATATGGTTTTCTGAGAGGAAGAAGATGCATATCATTACAACAAACTAAGCTTCATTTTTCTTCATCTATTCACTTGGAGCTTAAGGCAAAAGACAACTTAGGGCGTGATTTGTTTTTACCCAACAGTTTCATCTGTTTCAGACGTTCTTCTTCCTCTTCTGCTTTCTTCCTTCTCATCGCTTCTTCCTTCTGTCGTTGCAGCTCCTCGAGCTCCCGATAACGTTCTTCTTCTTTCTTTTGCCTCTCCATTGCTTCTTTTCTCTGAGCTTCTTCCTCTTTCTGACGCTTCTCCTCCTCTATTCTCTCCATCTCATCTCTCTCTTGTTGCTCTCTTTCCTGCGACAAACACCGCATAACACCCTGAAAAAAGGCTCGTTCTTCAACAACGTTCCATGATAGGCAGATTCAAGCAATTCAAATTTATTGAAAAACGAGCAAAGTTCTTTTCGAATGACGAACCATGTCACTGTAATAAGGAATTTGGCAAGAGCAACCAAAGTTTAGCAGACAGTTTCCACCTAGAAAACTAATAAAAATTCATAGAATTGAGAAGATATTATTATGGATCATTACCTCTTTCTCTTTAGCCTCGATAAGAGAAGCCTCCTTCTCCTTCTCAAGTTGAGCAGCGACTTCTTGATTAAGTCTCTTCCGTCCTTCCTCCAACAGCGTTAGAATTTCCATTTTGATTTTCTCTGACTGTAAGTTTTCTTCAACCTTTTTTCTAATAGCTTCTTCAACCCGTTTCATAGTTTCTTCCTCTATTAGCTTCAGTTCTGCTTCCCGTTGTCGCCTAAAAAAAAAAAAAGTTAACAGTTAGAGGACTCCCACAACAGATTCAGAACCTTAAATATCACCTGGACTTTCTCATATCTTGATGTCTTCAATCTTGAACAGATAAAGAACCTAAATTTTATTCCAAGTCCGAGAAATTTTAACATTTTTCCTCCTCCCAACGCCAAGGGTAAATTTCATTAAGGATATTTTTACATCCCAATAGACACAAACAAATATTCACTAATATATATCTCTAACTCAATCATATTCGTCAAATCGAGATAATACGAATATTTGTGCCAGAGGATCAAATATGAGCAAGTCGAATTATAGCTTATCTTCCTTATGCGAAGCCTGTGAGTGCCATGAAACCTGTTGCACTTTTGAGACTAATAATCAAGCACTTCCACATTACACTAGAATAACATTTGAGAACGCAAAACCTTAATTTGAACATAACATCCATTCCAATCATTTTTTTTAGTTACATTTACCTTTTCCGCTCTTCCTCGTCTCTTATAAGTTTTTCTCCATTCCTCTGTTTAGCTGCCTCAAGAGTTGTGGCAGGTGATCTTTTTGCAGGAGATGGAGAAGAGCTCCTACTCTTTTGTCTTTTGTAACGTTTTGGTGTTGGAGAACGTCGCTTAGGAGTAACAGATCGACTCCGATGGCGCCTAGGAGAAATAGAACGACTTTTTCGTCTGTACAACACCCAAAATAAAGCAGTAAGAAAAAGCTGCAATTGATGAACTACCACGCACATGAAGACTAGGCATCAGATAGCCCACAACTTCACATAGCGAAAACAAAAAGAATGTGCAGTTACCTCATACAGTGTTAAGAATAATCAGCTCCAACTTTTTACCACATGAAGAAGCTAATGTGACAAAGGATCAATGAAAGAACACCCAACAGCAATCCATCACCTGCTCACTTCCCCTCCCATAGAACGGGAAGATATTGAGCTTTTAATATAATGGCAAGAGCATGCATCCTCTTCCTAATTTCTCAGTCATGTTCTCAACATATTATTTTATATCTTACTAAGAAATATATGGTGGTTTTGTCTCGTTATTGTTAACAATCTCCATTTAAAAAAGAATCTCATAACGATTGCTCAGAAACACGCAAAGACAACCATAAACGTGAGGTGAATAACATTGATATCACTAGAACTTATGAGCGAAACTAGATCACAAAACCAGTAATGTTATCCCAACCAAAATTTCGCCTTTACTAAATAGGCAGACTGCATTGCCTAAAACGCGAAGCTCAGGTCATAAACATATTCCAGACAAAACGACTCAAAACAATCAAATAAATTAAGATATTTTTCCAACAAGATCATCACTCAATAAACTGTAACGATAGAGCCCGTAGCATCCACATAGAGCATTCCCAGTTGGAGAAGAATAGGAAAATAAGTAGGAATCTTTAGTAAAAGCACTTGAGAAAGATAAAGATGTATAGAGCTTAGCGCTGTACACTTTAGTTTACATATACGAGGAGAAACCAATAATAAATTAAGGTAAACGAATAGCTCAGAGATACAATGATTAATCACCTGCTATATGAATAAGACGAGTATGGAGAACGGCTTCTGTCTCTTCTACTCCTCCTGCTATGCCTATGCCTTACAGGAGACCTCGAGTGCTTTCTGCGACGTAGTGAAGGTGATGGAGACGGTGACCTCGATCTTGACAAGTCCCGAGGCATCTCTCAATGTCGCAGCAGTAGTAATTTTGCTTTATAATCTCAGATTAAATCTCTCAACTTCCAGGGAAAGTAACGGACTTTATTCTGCAAAAAAATCCAGATTCAACAGCTCAGATTGAAAGAGCCTATCGGTATGAGCGGAGCTTCGTAAATCAGAATCGAGAAGATAAACAGACGGAAACAGATAATCTCGCATAATATTAAACAGTAACCTAAGGAGCAAATTCAGATTGCTGACACATAACATAATTAAACTCCCAAATACACAGAGAAATCTCGCATAAAACCATACAATTTTGCTGGAAAATCAGCTGAAATCGTCTGACTTACCGGAGAATCGCGTTGTTGTTGTGGTTGGATCGCTTCAAGAGTCAACAACACAGAAGTTGAGAGAAACAAAAGTTCGACGGAATCGGGATACAGCTTGTAAATTTTTGTATTAAGATGATAAGTCTTTTTCGTGTACAACATGGAAAGCCTTTTGGGCTTTAAATATAAGGCTTTTTAAACTTTGTTAAGTGGAAGAGTCCTTCTTAGTTGGTCTTTGGAAAATATACACACAATGTCAAAATTGGTATTTACTATTTACCTCTGTGCTGTACTAAATTACTAATGCGCATCAATTTTTTTTAACTGCATCAAAACACTTAATTTAAAGATAATTTTCATCTCTCTTAACCATTCATCTGTTTCCTACTTTTTTTTTTGCTAAAGAATCTGTTTCGTACTTCAAATGATGTAAAAATTTACTAGATACAAAGTTATGTATGTGTGTTGCGTAGATTTGTGGCTTGTTGCCTAATTTGAATAGAATAATGATTACTGTAATTACCTACAACTACAAATCTAGAGGTTCGGTTTTTATTTTAATTATTATTGATACGATTGCGGATTGCCGCATGTCTAGACGCAAGGAAAAAGAAAAGTTAGGACTAATGAGGTAACAAAAAAAAAAAAAAGATAACGCATGGCTTCGTTAGTTTGTTAATCTTCTTTTAACGTTTCTAACATAACAATAATTTAGTTTACAGAGAAAAAAAAAAAAGTTAACATTGTCCGCAGATTTCACGCCCTTCTTCTCTTCTTTTTCACTTGACTAAATCACGTTTCACTAAACCCACAATTCTCATGCACATTTTCTCACAACATGCACGTCCAACCATATATTTATAGGCATACATGAATATATGATCATGCCTAGGTTTATCAAGATACTATTCCTGAGTATGGAAATACGTTATCATATTTTTCTATTTGAACAAAAGATAATTTAAGCAGTTGATAAAATATTGTAGAACTTTTCAATCCATAAAGTAAAGACTTATTTTGTGGCCAAAACGGTCATGTTATTCTAAAATAATATAGGCACATATTCTCATATACTCATATATATATGCAAAATGAGAGGACTTGAATGACGTACGAAGAGCAAGCCAAATTAAGAACTAAGAGTATATATTAGCACTATATACAAAAAAAAATCAAAGAAATCATGAAGAAGCAAAAGATAACAGCGTTTGTTAAAGAAGTGAACGTAAGAATGAAGAAAGAACCGATCACTCTCCGATACATTCAAATCCTCGGGACCGTGGTATTCTTCACATCAATCTCATCTCTCGTCATCCTCCTCGCTCTTTACCTCAACCAACGCCTCCAAACATCACTCTTCCTCGTCGACGATCTCTCCTCATCATCAAATCCTCTCACTTCTCCTTCTCTCTCGGACGAAGAGCTGATGCGGCGAGCAGCGATGGCACCACGTGGCACGGTGATGAATGATCATGAGGCTCATCATCCAAAGGTTGCGTTCATGTTTCTGACGAGGTGGGATTTGCCTTTGTCCCCTCTTTGGGAAATATTCTTCAAAGGCCATCAAGGGTTTTATTCCATTTATGTTCATACATCGCCGGAGTTCACCGACGAGCCGCCGGAATCTTCAGTGTTTTACAAGAAACGGATACCAAGCAAGGTATATGGTTAATATATATATACATTCATTCATTATATAATAGGGTTCTGTCTTTTTGTCTAATATATCCCATTTTAAACCGGATTATAATGCTAGTCTAGTATCATATGTATCTACATTTAATTTAGTTGTTCAACCATTATTTTTTTGTTTACTTTATAAGAAACTAAAATCACATTAAACTAAGGTATATGGATACAACATTCATCGATATATATAGACTATAAAGAGAGATTTAATATGGTGTAAATTTTGCAGGCCGTTGAATGGGGAAGATCGTCGATGATGGACGCAGAGAAACGTCTTTTATCTCACGCGCTTCTGGAACCTTCCAACGCTCGCTTCGTGCTCCTCTCAGAGACTTGTATCCCTCTCTTCAACTTCACCACAACCTACGCTTACCTCACGCGCTCCACTCGCTCTTTCCTCGGCTCATTCGACGATCCAAGGCCCATGGGCCGAGGCCGTTACAGCCCGAAAATGCTTCCACACGTGTCGCTCTCCGACTGGCGGAAAGGAAACCAGTGGTTCGAGATCTCACGGAGAATCGCCGTCGAGATCGTCTCCGATCGCCGGTACTACGCCGTCTTTGAGGCTCACTGCCGGCCGCCGTGCTACATGGACGAGCATTATCTTCCGACGCTGGTTAACAAGATCTGCCCGGAGATGAATTCGAACCGGACCGTGACGTGGGTTGATTGGTCGAGAGGTGGGCCCCATCCAGCGACGTTCGTGAGGAAGGATATCCGGGTCGGGTTTTTGGATAGGATCCGGTTTGGGTCGAATTGTAGCTACGAGGGTGAAGTGACGAATGTGTGTTTTCTTTTCGCGAGGAAGTTTCATGTGAGCACTCTCGAGCCTCTCATGAAGCTTGCTTCATATTTGTATGGAAGTTAATTAGACCTTATAAATTCATTTTTATTCCTTTTATACATCACTAAACTCTCAGTTATTCCTTTAAAAGAATAAATAATTGCGAGACTGTTTATTTTTTCGAATATAACAAATTTGTGCAAGAACACCAGCTCTTTTTCTGTTAGTGTAGAGAATCACCCTGCCATTATATACATGTTAATATAGAATGCAATCAACCTAGACAAAACTAACAATGTCTTAAGCCGACACAAAAAAAAATTTGAAGTGCGCAGAAACCTTTTTAAATACTAAATTGGCTCATTGCAACGTCTAAAAATGTTTTCATCAAAATTCCAAAAAAATAATACTACTACAAACATACATTCAATGATCTGGTCTGAAAATTTGGATCAGAAATATACTCGTAATTGTTGTGTTACTATAAAATTACGAAGAAGGGTATATCTGAAAATTAAAAAGAAGTTTTTGGTTATTGGCTGTTTCCGAAGCAATCACCATCACCAACTCATTTAAACGCCTTCGGATCTCGCCAGATCCATTTCGAACCGAATAAGAAAGCCGAATTTCGGCACGCTTCTTGGTTTTGTCGAATCTTCACTCTTTGGTCCGAAAGCTTCTCCCTTTTCATTTCATCAATGGCGGCTTTTGTCAATCTGGAGGATTCCCCAATGTTTCAGAAACAGGTGAAATTCAATTGCTTCTCGATATTTTGCCGTTTTGAGTGATTTTAATTTCAGGGGTCTGTTGTAAAAATTGTGAATTTCTTGTCTTGTGGATGTTTTGATTGATTGGATCAGGTTTGTTCCTTGGAGGGGACAGCTGAAGAGCTCAAAGATCGTTGTCAGAAGTTATACAAAGGCGTCAAAAAGTTTATGTTTGTCTAATCTATCTTTCTCCTCTACTGTCTTAATCTTATTGTCTGATCTTTATGTGGATATAGGATTCTAAGAATACCGTTTTTGGCATAAAGTGGAAATTGGAGTGTTGATACCATTTTGTCTCTTCTCTTACTTAGTTAGCAAACGAGAAGAACTGTTTGGCCATTAAAGCTTTGTTGATTGTTTTTCGATTCTCATGTAAAACTTAGATTATCCCTATTAAGCAATTCAAAATTTCTGGCATCTCACCCTTTCCTCGTTTATTCTGTGATAAGTGAACACCGTATCATTGCTAGTCCCCCTTTTTGCATTGTATCTACATGGCTAGGCATGTTATCGGTGTCTTATACGATTTTCATTACATTTCTCTATAGGGGAGCTTTGGGAGAGGCATCCAAAGGAGAAAGTGCGTTTGCAGATTGTCTGGAAGAATTTGGGGCTGGACATGATGATCCTATCAGTCTTTCAATTGGAGGTTGTTGATATAAATCCAACGATCTGGTCTCCCTAATTTGTTGATCTAGGAGTCTATCTGCTATGAATTACCACTTCATTCCTTTATTTCACTAGTAATAATATACTCATTTATGCAGATATTTTGGTTAGTGATTGTTACGTAATATGCTTGTGGGACTAACTAAACTATTCACTATGTCGCAAAAACTGTAGAAGTGAATTTGAGTCAAGCTTAATGTGTTTCTTAGTTAAGTATACCATATTGGACATCTGGATTAGAGCCACTTTTGCTTGGCTTATGATATATTTCTTCTTAGCTTAAGACACTTAGTAATACATTATTTCAGTTTATTTTTGTTCTCCTCGTCATTGCTTTTAAGAAAGTCCTACATTTGGGATAACCCACATATGTAATCCTAAGTTCATAACTTTTCGTATTGCACTGTTTGTTTAAAGAGATTAATATGATAGAGAGGGGTGGTTCTGACCTATTTGATTGTTATTCTTTTGAATGACACCAGGCCCTGTTATATCCAAATTTATAAATACACTTCGAGAGCTTGCCTCTTACAAGGAGTTTCTTTGCTCACAGGTATGCTCATACTATATTGTGAACAATAATAAATGCATCAAAGATTATAAGATGTCTATCATCTTTGTTGATTCAGAGTTATCCATCTTAATTGTTATCTGGCTATGTCCCTTTTGAGTTACTTATCAACTATGTGGAAAGGGGAGATCTGAAAAAATAATAAGATAGTTTGAGTTTAAAATGCCGATATGCAGTTTATTTTGTGCAGATGCCTTCAACAGTTTCTCATTTTTATAACAGTGTTGGTATTTTATGGGGGAAAATTTCTAGGTGGAGCATGTGTTACTTGAGAGGTTGATGAACTTTATTAATGTTGATCTACAAGAAGCCAAGGTATTCGTTTTATCTGCTAAATTTGATCAATTTATTTGTTTTCTCAACGTACTGAGTGTCTCAAACTTTATAGAAAATGGAGAAGATTATTTTTGTTTTTTGGTTCTTTACATCCCAGACTGTCAAAATTCTTTACTCTTTACGGTTGTATGAAAATTCTACAGTCATTTCACTCATTTGGTTATGAGTTTTAGAAGGATATGATTAAAAACGAAGCTGTCATTTCCAATTATCCACTATGCTGTTTCTACCTTTGCAGGAGTCACGCCATCGATTTGATAAAGCTGCTCTTTCGTATGATCAGGTACTTGGCTATAGAGTCTATAGCATCCTTAATTTCTTGTGCATGTTGTTGTACTTGATATTTTTCTCATCTGAAGCGGTGTAATGAGTTTTCTTATCCATTTGTAGTCACGCGAAAAGTTTGTGTCTTTAAAGAAGAATACAAGAGGAGAAATCGTTGCAGAGTTGGAAGAGGTAAAAATTTATTTATTATGTATATCCTTTCGTTTTTCTTCTCTTCTTGGCTACTAAGGAAAATTGGAGCAAAAATACGTCTGAGGAATGTGCTCATATGTGCGTATGATTAGACATTACTTTATAGGCTGTATATGTTCAATACATGCCCGTTCGTTCTATAGGTGTATGTTTACATGAAGAACATATGTAAAAAAAAAAGTATATGTGTACATGATGCACGTATTTGTGTCTCACCGAGTGTAGGAATGTTTGCGCACTTGTATTCTAGGAAAATGTCATGTTGAGTAAAGTAGTTAAGTGAAGCCATTTTGATAATTTGACACGCCAGGAAGTAGATGCTGTTCTTTCTTAATATTATTTGGCTCGTTCTGTGCCTTTATTCCCCCTGCATGGTAACTTACCTGTGCTGTGTAATATGACTGACAGGATCTGGAGAACTCAAAGTCAACATTTGAGAAGAGCCGTTTCAATCTAGTATGCTGACTTTACTAACAGAAGCCATTCCTGTTTGCTTTCAATATTTCTACATCTATCTAAATTTTTGCTTTGTTTGAAGAATGCAGGTAAATTCATTGATGACTATTGAAGCTAAAAAGAAGTATGAGTTTTTGGAATCTATAAGTGCAATTATGGATGCCCATCTGAGATATTTTAAACTCGTAGGGTCTCTAATCTTACATTTTGAATCCTTACCATGCAATTATGGATGTCCTATTTTAATTTTTTTATTTCGCCTATTTGTTTTTCAGGGATATGACTTGTTGGGTCAACTGGAACCATTTATCCATCAGGTACGAAACTTATAGCCAACTTGATGTCTCAATAGTTTAGATGGACAGAACAGATCCTCAGCTTCTATAGTTCTTAGAGACAATTATTAAGTTGCAAATCAGATCGTCTGTTATTAAGTTAGAAGAACTGAGGTCTTGAAGGGACTTTTTAGTTTTTGGAAGCCAAAAGTCATCTAATTCACCCATTCAAGTTTTTAACTTCTTATTATATACCTTTCCTTAAGACCTGTAAAGATTACGTTTTGTTAAAAATTAATCAAAGAAAGTTGGTGAAATTTCTAAATCTAAAATACGACCAATAAGAATGCCTCTCCCATTCGACACTTAATTTTTCTCAAGTAAACATGTAATGTGGGATAAGCCAAAGTTTCCTGTTATCTATGACCTGCACTGTCGCTGATACTTGTGACTCTTACAGATATTAACATATGCTCAACAATCAAAAGAACAGTCTAAGATTGAGCAAGATCGATTAGCAAGACGCATTCAAGAATTCAGGACCCAGTCTGAAATAGACAGCCAACAACTTGCTGCTAACGCGGAGCCCTCTGTTGTTGGAATGATCCCTTATAAAAATACTGAATCAAGTTTAACAGCAGACAAGGAAGTAAGTGTTTCCCAATTCATTCTCGCAAGAATCAAGTGCAGTTCACATTTTCCATTTTTTGGTTCTTGTGGCTCTCGTAAGTTTGCTATGTGCTCATGAAAGTGGTGTTTATGTGGTGATCGATTGGTTAAGAAAGTTATAAATGGTTTTCGTCTCACCGCAGGGAAATGGGCAAAGATAGGCAAAGACTGTTAAGAAAGAAATTGGAAAAGTCCTTATACTGGAATTAGATGCTTGAATCTTGCTTGTTCTACCGTTTTCTTACGATCTGCAACACAATTTTCTTAAGCCACCAACTGTTCACATGTTGATAAATTTTAGATTGTATCAATGTTAGCATCATGGCTTGTGCGTCAACGTAATTATGCAGTATATTGACTTGTTCTGTGGTCATTTCACACTTCAATTTGCAACACAGGGTGAAATTATTCTTGGCTTAAAGGTTTCTCTTTGTACGGATGCAGGTAATCAAACAGGGGTATTTATTAAAGCGGTCATCAAGTTTGAGAACTAATTGGAAAAGGAAGTTTTTTGTCCTTGATAGTCATGGCTCCATGTACTATTACAGAAACACTGGCAATAAATCAATGGTACGTGTGTAAAGGCCTCATTTTTGCCTCTTAGGTAATCATCATTTGGAAAGCATTCCCCTAATTCGACACAAGCTAGGATTATTAAGCCGAAATGAGTTGCATGTAGATTTACCTGGCACTTCCTCTGTAGTAAAGATTCTGGAACTTACCACCTGTTCAACAGTTTAAGCAAGTGTTTCTCAGTATAACTTGCTTATTATTTGAAGTTTCTATTTGTTTTTAACAGTCGGATATTATTTTTTCTGCCATTCCCATTCTCAGGGGTCTCAGCATCATTATAGTGGTTCATCTGACCATAATACTGGCGTCTTTGGTCGATTTCGGGCAAAACACAATCGAGCAGCTTCGCTCACTGAGGGCAGCTTAGGCTATAAAACTATCGATCTCCGCACTTCTTTGATAAAACTGGATGCAGAAGACATGGATCTTCGGCTCTGTTTCAGGATAATTTCTCCTCAAAAAACTTACACACTTCAGGTACCCACTTTACTCCTCTAGTTGGTGCAATCAGTCATAGATTTAGTAAATTTATACTGGTTCATTCTTCCCATGATCCAAGTACTCAGAATGCTAACAGAAAGTATTCCCTTACCTTACCAGGCTGAAAATGGAGCAGATAGGATGGACTGGGTTAATAAAATCACATCAGCTATAGGGACGCTTCTAAATTCTCATTTTCTGCAACAGGTTGACAAAAATAAGTCTCAGGTTTCTCTTTCATTTATAATTGATAGTGAAGTTTCCTGCTAATTACAGATCGTTTATGCAGTCACCAGTGCAATACTTGGATAAAGACTTCACTGGCTCTGCTCCTCCTGAAGGTGTCGACTCTCTGGATCAAAGTCGACATAATAATGCAAGACGAAATATCGGGGATGATGTCTCCACAATACTGAGAGGAATCCAGGGGAATAATGTGTGTGCAGAATGCAATGCTCCTGAGCCGGATTGGGCATCGTTAAATCTTGGAGTTTTGTTGTGCATTCAATGCTCTGGTGTTCACAGGAACCTCGGGGTTCATATATCCAAGGTATGAAGTTTTGAACTATCTTCTTCTTGGGGGTCCCTAAGCTGATGCCAAAGATTCTGTATCACACAAACTGCAGGTGAGGTCCCTCACATTAGATGTGAAAGTGTGGGAGCCAACGATCTTGGACTTATTTCGAAACTTGGGCAATCTGTACTGTAATTCACTTTGGGAGGGGCCACTTCACCTTGACGATAAGCGGTATGATTTCTAAGGATAAATAGTTTGTTCAATGTTTGTAAGTGAAGACCAATTCTCAAACACTATATCTGCCAACAGTGTCCTATATCATAAATAATGCATGTAGGTGCATCATGATAAACAGTGTTGGCTTTTTGCAGTGAAGAAGGATCAACATCGTCGCGTGCTTCAATTTCAAAACCATGTCCAGAAGATTCCTTTACTGTGAAGGAAAAATACATTCTAGGAAAGGTATTGTATGAGTTCTTACACTCTTATGTCCTATCTTCACGGGGATGATTGACTGATGTCATTTTAGTGAATTAGATTATGTTTTGTGAAAAAGGCAAATCTGAAAAAGAAACTAAACCTGCTTATTGTTTTATGCTTGAGGCAGTACCTGGAGAAGGCGCTAGTCATCAAAGATGAAAGCAAAACACACCCTTCTGCTGCAAACAGAATATGGGAAGCTGTTCAAAGCAGGAACATACGAGAAATCTACCGGCTCATAGTAACTACTGGGGATGTGAATATCATCAACACCAAGTTCGATGATATAGCTAATACCGATGTGTATCACCATGTGGATGCATCCGAAGAAGCAGTGAAGAAAAGACATGACCCAAGTGTGTGTCAGAGAATCAAAGACTCCAGCAAACCAGGAAACTGTCTTCAAGGCTGTTCGTTGCTCCACGTGGCTTGTCACATCGGTGACTCCGTCTTGCTTGAACTGTTGTTGCAGTTTGGTGCTGATCTAAACATGAGAGATTATCACGGAAGAACTCCGTTGCACCATTGCATATCATCAGGGAATCACAAATTTGCAAAGATTCTACTGCGAAGGTAACATTTTTAACATTTCAAGAACGCGCTCTCTCTCTGTTTCAGGGAACAACACGGTTCTGTTCATATATTTTGAATTTGTATGTGTAAATGCAGAGGAGCACGTCCATCGATAGAGGACGATGGAGGGCTAAGCGTGCTGGAAAGAGCAATGGAAATGGGAGCCATAACCGATGAAGAGCTCTTTCTTCTCTTAGCCGAGTGCGCGTAAACTAATACTACACTGCACTGGTTCATCAGAATCGCCTTTCGACGACACCGAAATGCAAAACCATGAGACGATTAAGTTTGGAAATTTTCGATTCATATTTTCCAAATATACCATTTAAAAATTTGCAAACAATTTCGCTTTTTGTGACTACCATGTAAGCCGGAAAAAAAAGGCAGAGATCAATCGGATTCATTACTTAATAGGGCATTTATTTTGGACGTACTTAATAGGGAAATTGTAATAGATAAACAAATACAGTTGCAATTTAAGAAAGTAGGAAGAGTGTTTACGACTAATGGCGACACGATTGAACAAAATAATGACATTAGTTTAATGTTTAGAGCATTCTTATTTAACAGTAGTGAATTTTAACAGTAGTGAATCATCTGACATGCTCTAAAATGTTGAACAAAATAATGACAGTAGTGAATTTTAGCTATCAGATGATTACTCTTCTTATTTAACTCTTACTAATGTTTTGAGTGTTTGGGTCACGTTTTAACGTAATTTGACTGGATCGAACCAATAATTTTTTTTTTTTTGACAAGAGGATCGAACCTAGTTCACAAAACTTTAGTATTTTTTTTTAATGTTATATAGATGTGATTAAGACCAAAAACTTTATATATCAAATATCGTTAAAAACTTTATATATCAAACTTTATATAGCTTATATGACACATCATTAACATCAAATATCGTAAGAGACTAATATTTATCATCGATGACTAATTTTTTTATAAAAAAATAGTTTTATGTATATCGTAATGCGTTGTATATATCAGAAATTTGACGCCACCATTAAAAAAAATAACGTAAATGATCGTTTGGTTATAATTTTTTATTATAGAAAGTAAATGAAACAAAAAGAAATCACATTTTTTTCAAGAAACTTACATTGTTACACAAAGAGCATAGTCTTTTCTAGAAACTTAAGAGTAATTGAAGCCACTTTATGAGAGTTTGAAAATGTTGAAAGTATTGGTCGAACACCTATACTGCATCATCAGAACTTAGCTCAACATCTATGATGCTAGCTCAAACATTTGCATGTACATTGGTGATAAACAAAAGGTATGTTTTGTGATACAAAGCATAAAAGCAATCTTAAGAAACAATTCATATAAAATGAATAATATCATCGTTCAAATTCCGTACAAAACAAAATAAAGAATAATCAATATCATTCAAAAGAAATATAAATGAGAGTAAACTATAAAACAATATTCTAAACACACAAATGTTCTTCTCTTATTTTTTATAAATTCACTAACCAAACTTTTAAAACTAAAATTTTTAATTAGATTTAACCCATACTCGATATTTGGTGTACTTAGGCCATACTGGAGTACGACATCAACCAACTTCTTCGTTGTTTGGTGTATTTAGGTCATACTCGATAATGTTGAATAGCTCGAATGATGCCACTTGGTTTTGTAGATGACTTTTCTCAAGATTCAAATACTCACTATAGAACAGTGAAGTGAGTAAAACTTTTTTGTTTTAAAAAAAATCACAGTTTTTTTAAGAAACTTACATTGCTACATTGGGAACATCTGAAGCCACTTTCTGAAACTTACATTGCTACATTGAGAGCATCTGAAACCATTTTCTGAAGGTTTAGAGCATTCACTACTTCAACCTGTGAAAGTGTTGCAAAGTATCTGTCAAATAACTATACTGCAAGGTGACATTTTATTTACAAATATAATTTATCGTAAGAAAAAACATAGAGAAATAATGACGTTAAAACTAATCTTTTAGGATCACTATTGTATATACATTATTATTTTATTTACAACGTATCACATCATTCTAACAGTTTAAGACAAATGTAAATGCAAAACTGAAACACACGAAAATAAAACGTTTTGGTAAATAATGTTTTTGAGCCTCCAACCTATTTAAACCGGACGAGTATTTTGCTTAAACCCGAGTTTGGATTGAAATTCGATCAAGACAAATTATTTCGCCTTTGACTCGGTTTATTAATTTTATAAACCGAACCAAAATTGACCGGGACAGCCACCGCTATTCCGCAAAGCCAAACTGAAGAAAAACCAAAACCTTTTGGGGGTTCATCTACGACGTTGATCCGTTTCTTACTCTCCGTCGCCGGTAAGTCTATAGCCTTCAATCTTCTTACGCTGTTTAGATCTGTGTTGTATTGGTGAAAAAAAAGAGAGAGAAATAGATTTCTTGTGGAGAAATCGGATTGATTTTTGGATTTTTTCTGGGTGTTTTCTGAATTGATTCATCCTAAGTTTGAGATTCTTAGAAAGGGAATTTAGAAGTTGGTAGTTGTTTGGATCCTTTGTGTTTATTCTTTTCCGCCATTTTTGGGATTGTAGATTGAAACAGGGCTATGCTTTCTGTCATTTGCTTTGACGTTTTTCTTGCCCACAGTCTTTCTTCTTTTGTGAAGCCTTTTCACTTGCAATCTATTGAATTGAGTTCGATGCTTGATTATGGTAGATTATAGTAAGTGAAACCATTCATATATAGTGGCACACATGTGCATTTGTTCGTGTGATTGGAGGAATCTTCATGATCGCTCTGTAGTTCGTCGTGTAGTTGAAGGGATAATATGTAGCTAGTTTGTGAGTGTTACATTCGAGGGCATCTCTTGTTGTATCTTCACAACACACCAAGCGTTGCACTGAGTTTAAAACTATTTTGAAAGGAACATGCTCTGATGTATTGGTTGCCTTTTTTTTGCATAGGAACAGTTGAAATGGCGAAGTCTTGTAAGGGTCTTGCTGAGGAGCTTGTCAAGTGTCTCAGTGAATCGATCTGTGTCAAGGTAATATAAAATATGTCTGAAACATATGGAGAGACTAATTTTCTTTACTCTGTTCAGTGTATTCACCACCTGTTAACTAATCACCAGTTCGCTTCGTTCTTATTTCTGTTTTTTTTTGGATATTTTGGTGTAGGACGAGAAACGGTCAATTAGGGACTGTGCTGGTGAAAAAAGCCCATGTATACCGAGCGAGTGTGTTGGCCTAAGGGAAACCTACTTCAATTGTAAAAGAGGACAGGTATGTTCTGCTTTCACTACTTGAAAGAGCCTCATTTTGTCCACCATAGCCACTGTGATAATGTGATTATGGAATCATGCATGGTGTTTAAATGATAAGAAGTTTACTGCCAAAGTATAAGAACAATTAAGCATGCTTTTGAACACTTTGAGAGTGTTACATTCAACCTTGAGAGGAAAAATTGTTGACCATAGAATATTGATTCTTGAATTGACGTTGGAAATAGATTATAGTCTCTTAGACTAATTGGAGGATGCATTGTGTTTTCTCTAGGTAGACATGAGAGCCAGAATTCGAGGAAACAAAGGCTACTAACAGAAGAGAAAAATATTGGACACTGCGCACCTGCTTGTTCGATATCACATTTTTTACTTTGTTATTTTGTGTTCTTTCTTATCAAAGGCTACTAACAGAAGATATAATATTGGAAACTGAGCACCTGCTTGTTCGATATCACATTTTCACTCTCTTATTTTTGATCAATTCCTTTGTCATGTCAATATCAAGTTATGCTTGTTCCTTTACTCAACTTGATTTCTTTACTTTTTAAAGTTGTATTACATGGGACAGGATGCAATTGAATGTCCTCTATAAATTAATAATGTTGGGACCATAAGATTTTATTAATTTATTGTGATATTAATTTATCTATAAATTAATAATTTATAGAGGAAAATTGTTTTTCGCTCATCTTCTTCTTAAATTTTCTTTCAAATAATGTTATATTTAAGAATCTAAACTCATATGCTTATAAAAATAACATATAAAAAATTTAAAATTATGATTACTAATCATAGCAATCGCAATAGAATAACAGTTAATTGTCTATATAAAAATATAAATGTTCATTACTACTAAATTTATAAAAAGTTTATGGCTATTATCTTTGATGTTGATGCTGAAATTGAAGATAAAACCATAATATTTTTCAAAATAATTATGCGTAAGAAAATTAATGATCACATCTAAATTTTTTTACAAATTTTGAATGGAGATAAAAAAAATAACATTATAAGCTATTAACATAAATACATAAAGAGTTGATTTTCTATAAAATTTCAAACTTAAATAAAAATAAACAACACATTAAACATAGTCTAGTATATTATATCTTACATATATATACATGGATTTATATAATTATTAATTTATGTTTATGTTGGGACTTAGGACCATATATTTATATAGGGATTTTAAAAAAAAATTATTATCTTATTATCTTATCGAATTTGATAGATTTTTACACTGGCCCAACTCGGGACTAGAGAAATTTATTAATTTATAGTGATTATTAATTTATCGAGTATTAATTTATAGAGGTTTTACTGTACTTCCTTTTTTCCAATTTTTCAAAACCCACATCTCAAATTTAACAAATTCAACAGATCTTATGAAAGTCCTACAGGTGGATGAATCAAAATGGCGTTACAAAAAAGAAGAAGAAGCTTTACACTTTGAACCCTACTTCAAGAATCACAAGAGTAATTCTAGGAATGCAATGAAGAAATGCCCAGCCCCATTGTTCTCTATATGCTCACTTGATCTTCTCTTGGCAAGCTCTGAACAGTGTCCGACCATCTCCCTGGAGAATGTTCGCTACTGTTAGACGAGAACGGTGCTTCGGCCCTAGCATCCCTCACCATCTTCAACACCTCTCTCATTACAGGCCGGTTTTCAGGTTGAATGGTCACGCAAACAGTTGCGATACTTAAAAGTGCCTGAAGTTTCTCCTCTGATGCTTCGTTGCCTGAAGATGTCGGTTCCTCGCCTGATTCAGTTTCTTCTTCTCTCACTGCACGTACCCATCTAGAGATATCTGATCCGTATTCTTGAACAAGGTCCTGGAATGGTGTTCTACCTGTTAGAAGCTCAAGAAGAAGGACCCCAAAGCTATAAACATCAGCGGGTTGTGTAGAGGCTTTGCGTGGGTCTCTACACTCTGGAGCTTTGTAAAAGAGCGAGACTGCACTTGTTTCTTCAGCGGAGTCAGGATCATGGAGAGTGCTGAGGCCGTAATCCGTGAGGCAGGACTCGAAATCAGGACCTAACAAGACATTGGACGATTTCAAGTTCCCATGAGTTAGGCCAGGATTCTGATGAATGTAGAGCAGAGCTGAGGCCAAGTCCTCAGCTATTTTCAGGCATGAAGTCCAATGCAGAGGCTTCCCACTTCCAGAAGCTCTAGTTCCTACAAACAAATACACACAAAACACACTGAAGCTGGCGAATGTATCCAAGTTTTTATCCAAATCATCAAATCTCTGCATTGCTATAAAAGAGGAGCCTTTAGAGAAGCTATCATTGCTGGATGTTCAGCAATTAGATACATACCGTGGATAAGAGTGAAGAGACTGCCATTGGGGAAGTAATCATAGACGAGCAAGCGCTCTTCTTTGGCCTGGAAATAAGCTCTTAGAGGCACGAGGTTTGGGTGTCTGAGCTGTCCAAGGATCTCAACATGTCTCTTGAATTCCTCCATGCGAGGATACCTCGCGTTCTTGAGCCTCTTTACGGTGACGATGAACCCAGACTCCATCACAGCCTTGTACGTGCTCCCCAACGTTCCTCTTCCCAGCGTCTCTGCCGAAGCTTTAAGCAGGTCTTCCATGGTGTATCTCACCACCGTCTCGCCTGAATCGCTGGTTCCGAGGAAAACCAGAGTCCCTACTGCTCCTTCTTCGCCTCTTTCCCATGAGAATCCTCTGTCTTTACTCTCAATGCCTCTCTCTGTCTCCGCAGATGTTGCTCCTTGTGCTTCCGCTATTCCTTTGCCTTTTCTATCTTCCGTAGGAGTTTTGCTCCGTCGCTTCCGTCGCCAGCAGCAGATAAGAAGCGTCAGCAGAAGGACGAAGATCAGGACTCCGCCGGCGACGCTTCCGGCGATGATTCCGATCAGCTTCGCTTTGTTTTTCTTCGACTTGGGTATAGGTGTTGGTTTCGCCGACGGCGCAGGTGAGATTCCGCATGGGCTTCGGATCTGATCGCCGCAAAGAGCGACGTTTCCGGTGAACGAAGACTCGTCGAACTGCTTCAGAGCTCGTGTGGGTGGGATTTGGCCGGAGAGCTGATTGTTGGAGACATTGAAGTATCTGAGACTCGTCTGGTTAAGAGGAGGTATGGAGCCGGTGAAGAGATTGTCCTCAACATTGAGCGTGTAAAGGCGAGAGAGACGGAGCAGCGAGCTCGGGATCCTGCCGGATAATCGGTTTCCGGCGAGGACGATGGTTTTCAATCGGTGAAGTGACGTGAGAGACTCCGGGAACTCGCCGGAGAAGTTGTTGTCGTTGAGAAAAACCGATTTGAGATTGACCAAGCCTGAGAGATCAGGGATTGAGCCGGAGAGAGAGTTGGCTTTGAAACTAAGAACCCTAAGTTGGTCCAATTGGTTCAAGGTCTTCTCTTCGAGTGAGCCAGTGAGATTCAAATACTCGAGAACAAGCTTCGATACTCTTCCGTTCATACATTCTCTCACTCCTTCCCAGCTGCATAGATCTGTTCCTCGCCATGAAATCGAGTCGGATGGATCGATTAAGGATTTCAATCTCAGTAGAGCTTCGACGTCGCCGGATCTCGCCGGAGAAACCAAACAGAAGAATACTGTAGAAGCAAAGACTAGGAACAATGTAACCGGAGAAGTAGAAGAAGAAGAGGCCATTGTTGATGTAATAAGAGATTAACGACGACTAAACCGGAGAGTGACTATTCCAGGTCATGAAGAAATCAGAAATGATATATACTGGTCGAATCGATTTTTCCATAAAAAGCATCCCATGAATCTCTTATCAGCCATCACTTTCCATTATTAGTCACTTTCCAGATCTGCCCCATTTGCTAAAGTATCTCGATCGAAGCAAAAAAAGAAAGAAAAAAGAGCTTCTTTACTTTGAAATTGGAAGAAGAAGAAGAAAGAAATGGCGGAAGGAAATGGTCTGGTTGTGAGCATGAGGAGGAGAAGGAGCATTAATGGTCAAGTGAAAATTTTCGGGCATTTTCTCTCTCACTTTGAGAGTATCTTTTCTCGAAGTTCTTAGTCGAGGAAGATGTCACGTGAAGCCATGCCTGAAACCCTTTTTTTTTTTTCCTCAAGTTCTCTTTTTTCTCTTTCTCTTTTTCTCACTGTGCCTTCTTCAATGCATTCATGAATATTAGTATTATATATCTGCACACACATTAAATCATTAGTATTACTTGTGTGAAGGAGAGACGAATGGGGAAAACAAAGAAGGGGAAATGTAGTAATAATTCACGTTATTTTGTCTTTATTGTAATCGTTGCTATTACTTTCGCAAGATTCAGACAGATGGGTTTTGGGGCCAATTGGAGTTACTGCTTGCTGAGAAAATGCAAGAAAATTTGGAGGGAGAAGAAGAGAAAGTGCCAGAGAGAGAGAGAGAGAGAGATCAGAAGAAATGTGGTGTACAAATTAAATTCAGTGATGATCTTAAAAGGGGTAAAGAGAGACATTGTATTTTGATTATTTCAATAGGTGTCTGGTTCCTCTTGCCTCATCCAATTATTGAGCTTCCTTTTCAACCTCTTTTTTCTTGTTGAATGTTAGCGCATAAATTTCATTTTAATAATATTATAGTTTTTCTCATATATCATGTTGGACCTCTGGTTAGAATAACGAGGTACAAACTTTACTTTGTGGTCAAAAGTATATGGGTGAATGAATAAGAAGAGAACATTAATGCTTTGATTTTAGTTTGGTTATACAATTAATCATGGTTGGTGTTCAATCTTTATTAGACTGAAACGAGGATATTGAAAGTACAATTAAGTAATTAGAATTTATGAGTTGCTTAGCTTGGGCGTGATGAAAAATGTAATAAATAAAAATGTGAATTGAGTTCACGTAAAGACTGATCAAAAAATTAACCAACGATCTAGTCTAACACCAACCCCCTCACAAGACTGAGAGACTGCTGTCATTTAAGTGCCATGAAACCTTACTGACTTCTTTGACCTTTAATTCGATCATGATTTTTTCGACTTGCGAGTAAATAAATTAGAGGACATACTAAATTTTTTTAATTTATAAAATCATGTTTATTTAGGACTTCGCTTGAATATTTTTATGAAACGACCATGTCTTAATTGTCTTTGGATTAGTTGATATTAAGAAGAGAACTAGAGAAGAGAGACTTTGAATAAGCATTTTTCCCGTTCAAACCCTCAAACCGGGTGGAATTTGGAGGGAAAACTTCTAGAGTTTTGGATTCTTGTCGGCACGATGATGACTCTTCATTGATTATTTTTATCTCATTATTAAACTTGTTTGACTGGTTAGTGGGTTACTGTAACGGTGTTACCCAAATTATAAGATTTTGCGATGGTCCATGCAATTAAATGTGCAATACAGTATTTTTCGAGGAATAATATGGTCTTGGCCTTTTACAAGAGAATAGCCTTACGGATCCTTGGGCTGGGTCCATATCCTTACTGAGTATTTCTCAGTTTGTTCGTAAAATACATTTTGGGTCATTTGCGGAGGAATCTCAATTTTCGAGGACTGTTTTGCAATTTTTGTTTCTTGTTGAAACTGTTTTTTTTTTTTTTTTTTTCTCAACACCTAAAAAAAAGATTAAACAAAAATCTGCGGATCCACGAGAAGAAGCCCTATCAAACACATAAAGTCCCTTTCTCTAGCTCATCTCCGCCGCCGGCTAATAAATCGGAGAATTTTAGTCTTTCACCTGAGAAGCTTCATCATCTACCCGGGACTCTATCAATGGCAACCAGTCAGTATTTTTTCTTTTCCGTTCTTCACGTGCACATATAGTTACTCTCTTAATGTTTCGATTCTGTATTTGACGATTTCTGTCTCTTTTGTGCTAAATTGCTTCTGTGGTTTGTTTCACTAGTGGCTAGGTCGTTTTTACAGGCGATATCGAAGGACGAGGTTGTAGCTCCTCCTCTCAGAGTTGTTCAGATCGAAGGATTGGTAAAGTCCCAATACCTTTCTCTGGTTTTATGAGTTTTGAGTTTCTCCTCGGTTTCTTTTTACCTTGGAGTTTGCTACGGTGTGATTGGTCTCGTTATTAGTCCTTTTACGCCTTAAGAAAACTCTCTAAGTAGTGATGCTGAGGAGTTTGTCTGTCTACGTGGTAGGCTGTGCTCAAAATAATCAAGCACTGCAAGGAATTTGCACCGACACTTGTCACAGGACAGCTTCTTGGGCTTGATGTTGGCAGTGTCCTTGAAGTTACCAATTGTTTTCCTTTCCCAGTAAGCTGACGAATTTACACTCATTGTAATATATACAGAGCTTGTCACTGATCAATGTACCTATGATTTACGTCAATTTGTATCTTAAATGACCACAGGTCAGAGATGACGATGAAGAAATTGAAGCCGATGGTGCCAATTATCAGCTTGAAATGATGAGATGCCTGAGGGAGGTTAATGTTGACAACAACACTGTTGGGTGGTAAGTTTTGATGTCATCATTCTGATTAATAACTTGTTACATATTCTTTTATAAATGTAATGACATCTTCTTCAATTTTCTTCAGGTATCAATCCACAGTTCTTGGCTCCTATCAGACTGTAGAACTGATTGAGACCTTCATGAATTACCAGGTACTTTCCAGAATCCAGTTTACCATGTTTGCTACTCTAGATCCTGGTTTTGGTCTATTCACACGCTATGCTTGTCATTCTGTATGTATAGCATGATTACTCTGTACGATAGGTAGATTGGCATCTGTTCTCGTGAAAAAATTGATTGGAAACTGGACCATGAAGATGTTTGCTGAGACTTTTCCCGCAAATTTGTTACGCAAAATCAAGTAATGAACTTTAAGAAATGATTTATTCTCGATTTACAGGAGAATATCAAGAGGTGCGTGTGCATCATATATGATCCCTCTAAGGCTGACCTAGGCGTCCTAGCTTTGAAGGCTTTGAAGCTTTCAGATTCCTTTATGGAGTTGTACCGGGGTGGAAACTTTACAGGCGAGAAGTATGTATCTTGATCTGTGAAAAATATAAGTTTAATGAGCCACACTGGATAATTGTAGTGATCTAATCACTATTTCTTATCTTTTTTTACAGGTTGAGAGAGAAAAATTTCTCCTGGATGGATATTTTTGAGGAAATACCTGTAAGTCTCTAGAGCTTTTTGCTCTTTTTATGTCGAATTCTAACTATCTAATCTTTGATGTGGATGTTCGATCTCTTACCTAACTATAGCTTCCTCTGACGAAATGTTTTTGTTTAAATGTCGATTACTTCCGATGACAGATTAAGGTTTCAAATTCTGCGCTTGTCAGTGCCTTTATGACCGAGCTAGAGACTGATACACCTGTCTCACAGGTACAATATTCGTGTATCGATAAGGATTATCGCTTTCTGTCAGTATTTCAGAATTTGACTCTTCATTCTTTAATGGTTTCTCTTTTCTAGGGTGATTATGATCGTCTGCACTCATCAACCACTCCTTTCCTTGAGAACAATATGGAGTTTTTGATTAAATGCATGGATGATTTATCTATGGAACAGCAAAAGGTGTGGCTTATTCTGCACTCTTGTTCAATTCTTATGCTCAGAAATCAGAACTATCTTCATGCGATGTCTTATTTTATTTTTCTAGTTCCAATACTACTACCGGAATCTGTCTCGTCAGCAAGCGCAACAGCAAGCTTGGCTTCAGAAGAGAAGGTAGGCACTTGATCCACTCTATATATTTCCAGAAGAATCTGTTTGTTTTTTTTCCTTCTGGTTCTGGTTTGTTTGTTTCACTTCCTTGTTTTTATCTTGGAAGGTGATACAAATTTAGTCACATGGGTGGTGAATGACCCTAATAACAATTGTCTTCAGCCTTTGCTTCTCTTGTTAATCTTCCATGTAACTAACAAAGAGATTCGGTTTATAGGACGGAGAACATGGCTCGTAAATCAGCTGGAGAAGAGCCATTGCCTGAGGAAGATCCTTCGAACCCAATCTTTAAGCCGATCCCTGAACCATCAAGGCTAGAGAGTTTCCTCATCACTAACCAAGTCTCAAACTTCTGTGGCCAAATCAATGGGTATGTTCTTGTGTAAAACTCTTCAAAAACCTTTTTCACCATTTCTAGCTTTGAAAAATACTAATAACCCATTTGCTGTGCAGAGTGGCTGGCCAAAACTTCAGCAGGCTTTACCTGACCAAAGCATTGCACGAAAACTGATTACAAAGACTACCCAAGCTTTTGTTTTTTGAGTCGAGAAAGTGAGAGATTTGGTGGTAGAACGGATCCCATATTTGCTTTTCGTGGAAATTTTTAATTTTTGTAGTGAAATAACTTAAAAGATACATATACTTTCTGAAAAAAAAAAAACATGTTTTCAAGTCGTATGCGTAATGGTCTGAGAAAGTCTTATTGAAATTTTTGTATTAGCCTATCACTAACAATATACAGATATTTGTTCCATCACCAAAATGTATATGTATACTCCATACTTGGGACTTATATAGAGGAATAAAAAAAAAGGTGAAAACAAATTCCAAATACGATGAGACTACAGCAAGAAGCGCATTAAAACGACAACGTGTTAGTGCTTCTTCCTCGAAAGATTATTCTTACCAACAACAAATAACAATGGCGGTTTATCATCTCCTTCTCTCAACTCCTCCTTCGCTTGTACTTCCTCCCTCTCCTCGCCGCCCTAGCTTCACCTTAATCCGCCGTATCCCAACTCATCCTCGTCTCGGAAACTCGGCAAGCTTGTTCTCTTCGTCATCACCGGTAATTCGGAAAATTCTGGTCCGTAGCACTCTCCGGGAAGACCCCGTCTCTCCGGACGCCGAGAGTCCCACTCTATTGATCGGTGAGGATTCTGCTGCTTTTGAATTAGGGAAACAGAAGCTTGCTTCCTGGGTTTATTTCGGGGTGGTCCTTGGAGTCGTTCTCTTCATCCTCAACGTAGTTTGGATCGATAATTCCACCGGTTTCGGAAAATCATACATCGACGCCGTATCTAGCATCTCCGGTTCACCGGAGGTATGTAAAAATTACAGTAAGTGAACCAATTTCAGCTTCCTTAGGCAATTATTTGACTGTACAACCCACTCTTTTTCGCAGGTTGCTATGTTAATGCTTATCCTCATATTTGCAACGGTACATAGTGGTTTAGCTAGTCTCAGGGATATAGGAGAGAAACTCATAGGTGAACGAGCATTTCGTGTTCTATTTGCTGGAATCTCTCTTCCTTTAGCTATGAGCACAATTGTGAGTACTCTCTTTCTCTGCAAATTTCTCTCTGCGTCAATGGGAAAAAAAAGGACTTTTCTGAGTTCTTCGGGATCAATGCAATGCCTTCTTCTACTTTCAGGTTTTCTTTATAAACCATAGATACGACGGGTCACAGTTATGGCAGCTTCAGGGTGTTCCGGGAGTCCATGAAGCTGTTTGGGTAGCTAATTTTGTATCCTTCTTCTTTCTCTATCCTTCAACCTTCAATCTTCTGGAGGTAGCAGCTGTTGATAAACCAAAGATGCATCTGTGGGAGACCGGCATCATGAGAATCACTCGGCATCCTCAGGTATTGAAACATTTCCTTAGTCAGCACAATCTATGTCCATTTTCCTCATTTCTCTGTTTTCAAAAACTTGACAATTCGCAGAAAGATTGGATTTTTAGCTTTGGTTTGTTAGCTTTGATTATATCTAGAGGCTATTTAGCTTTAGTTTTGGTTTGTTCTCTTCTCTCTTTATCTTCAAGAACCAAGTTTATTCTACTGGCTGTGTTAATGAGACTTGATCGTTGCACATCTCTCCTCCAGATGGTTGGACAAATAGTTTGGTGTTTGGCACACACTCTCTGGATCGGAAACACGGTAGCTGTATCAGCTTCTCTCGGATTGATTGCACACCATTTGTTTGGGGCTTGGAATGGAGACAGGAGATTAGCTAAAAGATACGGAGAGGCTTTTGAAGGCATCAAGAAGAGAACAAGTGTGGTTCCTTTTGCTGCCATTTTTGAAGGACGCCAAGTTTTGCCTGAGGATTACTACAAAGAATTTGTTCGGTTGCCTTATCTTGCGATCACTGCTTTAACGGTTGGGGCATATTTTGCTCACCCGCTAATGCAAGGTGCTAGCTTTAGGCTCCATTGGTAAAGACCATAAGAAGAGAGCATCCTAAAACTTCTCAAGGAACAATGTATAATTACTTCACTATTAAACAAAATGTATAAAAATTCAAAAAAAAAAGCGTATTGTTCTGATACTTGTCAAAATTAAAATATATATATCTATTGGAAGCAAAAAAAAAGAAAAGAGAATCAGTTAGTTATACATTGAAATGTGAATTGAAAACAATGAAAAACAAGTATAAATATAAAAACGAACACAAGTAAAAAAAGAAAGGTTCATTGCAGTCTCGAACTCAATACCGTTTAGAATATTTAGCTAAAAACCTCCTTTTTGTAATATAATGGCACTCAGATGTCATGGGGACTCTGATGGCCACCACCACTACTAATAGAAGAATTTTTTTTTACCTAATGATGTTAGTCATAACAGAATAAATGAATTTTATCTTAACCGATAAGTGATATGTGAAGATCTCGATCCAAATCTAGATTGATATCTAAGATTTCGATGCCTTTGATATCTCTAAAGTTACTAGAGAAGTCATTGGTCTAAAGACTCTTAAACCATATTTTTATACTTACGAAATCTAAATTTTATACATGAACAAACAAATTAATCAAAAATAAAGCCCATAAACTCAAAAATTAAATAGTTGAAAAGAAAATAAATAAAAAGTAGGAAAGCTCCAAGAGAGGCCAAATCAAAAAGCAAAGTGCATATGAATACAAGAAAGTGGTTCTGCAAAAACAAAGAACGAAACAAAAACCAACAACACTTGCTGCTGCTACTTACTACTACTTAACTAAAACTAAACCAAACCTCTCTCTCTCTTTCCTCAACTTTGGAGTTTGCAATTTGATGCGCCACTCTCTCATCTTCTCTTGCACATCGCATCTTTTCAATCTTCATTTCTGCTGCTCGCCGGAGCATCTCGGCGTTCTTTCAGACGTCTCTCTCTCTCTTATCGGTTAAATCTCTTATTACGACACCACCGGTGCCGATTAGTGCTCCTAGAGTGCTCTAGTTGATGTGAGATTTGAGGTGAATTGCAATGGATAATCACTCCTTGCCGAGCACAAGCACCACCACCGGGCTTGTATTTCCGGCGAATTACGGTCTAAATGCGATAAACGCTGCCTCCGGGTTTCACACGGCTGTGGATTCTCCGGCTTCGGTGGCTGGAGTCAAACCTGAAGCTGCTTTGTTCATGGATTGGTCCGTGGAGGAGCAGTATGTATTGGAGAATGGCCTAGCAAAGTAGGTATCTTTATCTTCTTTTGCGCTTAACGTTTCGTATTTTGGATATTTCCTTCCACTTGCTATTTCTTTTTAATCAGCAAATTCAAGTTTATTGTTAATTCGCAGCTCTTCGTACTAAGATTAAATTTTTTTTTTAGAGAGAAAGTTGAAATTGGGAATTGTTTTTATGACAAGTAGTGGGCACATAATATATTCTTCTCCATGGTGGACTATTAAAGTATGTTCCTTGGAAATAAAAAAGCGTCGCCTTTGTGTTTCCATGGAAATGTGTAAAATACCGCATATTTGTTATCTCGGACAGGGACCATTAGCCAGTTCTGGTTGCTCTGAGGAAGTCATCGGTTTTCTCATGAAAGCTAGCTGAGTTTGTTTTTTCCATGTTACTTTGGGTTTCTAGGTTGTTGTTTTATTGGTTTGCATGCATGACATCTTTATTTCTCCGTTTGTAGGTTAAAAGATGAACCGAAAATTTCAAAGTATGTAAAGATCGCTGCGACTCTACCAGATAAAACTGTACGGGATGTAGCATTGAGGTGTAGATGGATGACGGTAAGTTCCTTATGATGTTGTGGTTTCAGTTAAGTTTCCTTGAGCTGTGTGCTTACTTTCATGTGCTCTTTGTCATGTCCTTTTGCTTATATGAGATCAAAATATACCACTCTAGACTTCTACCAAGGATATGATATTTCTGCTGCTAGAGAATTACTTAGCAGTTTCTAGCTTTCCTTTTCAAATGGTATGTGGCTATCATAGATCCGAGGGACATTTCTAGAAGTGTTTAAAGCATATGCTAAATATGACGGAATCAGCATGACATGCAACTTTGTGATAAAGATAAAGTCCTACAAAAACAAAAGCTATAGGTTGTAAAGATTGTCTAAAAGACTGGTAAAGGGATGAGCAAAAAGAGAAATGACAAGTATTGCTGACGCTAGACCTGTCTTTATATTTAGCTTTGGAGTCCATGATTGTGGAGGGAATTGTAGGAAAAGGAAATAAGCCTAAAGTTTCTTTTTTAAAAATGGTGTCTGTAGTTATCCTGAAATAGGTCATGCTTTTATGGGTGGTAGCAGAGATCCCTACGCTTTTTGAATTTTCAAGAAATTTATGTTATAATATCTCCTATGACAGGAGTTTTATTGAAATGAATCAAATGATTATCTTGCCCACTACATATGGTTACATCATTATGCTAAATGTTTGCATAGTAAAGTGAAACAAAATGAGTTAATGATATATAATGCTTTTTAATATCATTATATTACCATCTCCTCCACGTCTCTGTCCTGTGAGTCTTCAATCAGATAGATGATGCAATCAATCAGAAAGTTCCAAAAGTCCTCCTTTTTCTTTCAGTAGTGCTTGTTTGCCTTTCTTTCATTAGGTATAAATTATTATCTCTAAGTTTGTCTTGGCTAAGACGGTCATCTATTCTCACAGCGAAAACGGAGAAAAAGAGAAGAAAATAGTGCTGGGAAGAACATTAGCAATGGAAAGGTATGCTTGCCCACCTAAACCTTTCGTGTGTTGAATTTAGTGATCAAGATCCTTTTGAACTTGGTTCTAAAGACCATGCTTCTTCATGGTAAGGTGGTGGATACATCACCAGAACTGAACATGCTAGCCAATGTGCATCAACGAAATGCTCCATATGTCATGAACAATATGTGCCACAGTAGACACATACCTTTTGAAGGTTTAGCGCTCTTTTAATTCTTTGCTTTTCTCCTGGGTTATGTGGTCTTAAAAAGAAAGAAAAAAAAAATCAGTATTATCAGTTAGGTACCTTTGTTAAACTCTTCTTCTCAGGTTTAAGTGAGGCAGTAATGGATCTTCTACAGCAAAACGTCCAGGCTTTTAGTCAAATTTCTTACAACCTCTCTGCGTGTAAGGTAATTTAGTTTTTTGCAATTCTTTGTGGCTAGTTGCGGCTAGGATATTGAGGGATTGGAATTATCAGAAAGTTAGATTGAACACTTGTATCCCACATGCTCAGAAAAGAATTTTTGATATTGTTCCGGTTGGGTTTCCTTGTTATCCTTTTGCAATGGAAGATTTACACAAATATATCCTAAACTTTGTGCATACAGCTGCAGGATAACATGAGTCTCTTTTATCAGGCAAGACATAACATCAGCGCCATTCTGACTGAGTATGTGGATCTAATAATTTTCTGCAGATTTCAGTTTTCACAATTGAGACAAAGTCATCTGTCTTGTTTTCCTTTCTATGTGATATTATGACAGCTTCAATTGCTAAACTCTTAATTTCGGGCTGCAGCATGAAGGAGATGCCTGGTATCATGAGTCGGATGCCGCCTCTGCCTGTTTCAGTTAACGATGGTCTTGCAAGCCGTTTGTTGTCGAGTACAACACAGGTAACAAATTTTGTTGTAATGGATCAAAATTCCTTGGTGCTACCTAACACCAGTACTGACGTTATGGAAAGTAGAGGCTAATCAAATTTTCTCTCTGTGTTACCTCAAATAATCAGAGCTTCATTTCTCTTAAAGTGCTAAAGAGTTTTCTATAATCTACTTTGTCGTGAGTGAGATGCCTGAAATTTCGAAGCAGAAGCAAGCAAGTCATAAAGAATAAGGATAATCTAATCGAAAAACAATTAACAAAGCTTTAACGGTCAAACAGTTCTTGTCATTTGCTAATTTAAGTAAGAGAAGAGACAAAATGGTGCCAACATTTCAATTTCCACTTGATGCCAAAAACGGTAGACTTAGAATCTGAAATCCACATAAAGATCTAAGATTAAGCCAGTAGAGGAGAAAGGTAGATTAGAACACCTTTGAAGTTGCCGAAATTGAGAAAAAAAAATAATTCAAATATCCCCCAAATATTTCAGGTGATTCCGTGTGTTTATATGTTTCCGTGTTTGATTATTTGTAAAAATGGGACTGGTCACATTCTCTCTTAAAGGTTTTGTTTTTCTCTAAATAGTTTTGTCAATCGGGATAATCTTCTAGATTTGGTCATTGTTCCTTCACCTCAAATAAAACTTGCATCATAGCTCATAAAGCTTACATACCTTTCAAGTAATCTATAAGAAAAACTGATTTTCACTACTCATTAAAAATGCTTGCCTTCCTTCAAAGCTTATATCCACTATCCTTCAACGATTCTAAAGCTTCTCATCTTTCGATGAATTCCACCAACACCGAAACAGTTGAAAATGTCGAATTCTCGATCCAAAATCTAATCAAGAGTTGGTGCAGACGGCGAAAATGGCGACAAGTCTTCATCTTCTCCACAGAAAAACAGCAACAAGAACTCATCTCCATCGAACCACAATGGAGAATCACTTTAACCGAGTTTCTAGAGTCATACCAAGTTCACCTTTTCACCATCTTCGTGCTCTCTCTCGACATTATCTTAATGTCCCTCGAACTATCTTCCTCTCTGCTCTCCTGCACATCAGTCAAGAAAACCGAAAACAAGGAAGAATGGTTCCGTTGGGGAGGAACCGCGATTCTGAGCATTCTCGCCATTAAATCCATGGCTCTAGCTGTTGCTATGGGGAAGTCATTCTTCAGACAACCTGGTTGTGTAATGGACGGTGTAGTTGCGGTTATAGCTCTGATTCTCCAGGTGTTTCTTGACAGGAAAGGGACCGGCTTCATCGTGGTGGTTAGCTTGTGGCGGGTTTTGAGGGTTGTGGAGACTGCGTTTGAGCTTAGTGATGAAGCCATTCAAGTGCAGATAGATATAATCATCAGCCAGTTTCAAGCTCTTAGTAAAGAGAATAGATCATTACTAGAGAGTCTTGCAGAGAAAGACGAAGTAATCAAGAAGCTACATGAAGAGCTAAATCGATTAAAAGAAAATGTTGATATACTATTTGTAACAAGCCATAGGGAGGCTATATAAACTCAATATGTAGAATCTAAAATCCTTTTCTTTTATATTTAATAGATTGTTTCAAGAAACTAAATAAACAAGTAGAGTTAAGCTGCATCTCATTCGAATGAAGAACTCTGTTTCATACAACCTCGATGAGACCGTTGATTCTAAAGCTATGTAGATTCTGTCAGTCACCGATCTCTAATATTTTATATACATTTGGTCACCGCTACTTAGCGAGCAAGACAAGAAACATACACACAAGTTTTCTTCCTTGCCAGAAGAGAAATCAGGTACTTGAAAAGAGGAAAAAAGAAAAAACTTTGCTCAGTTTGGTAAGAAGCTTCATGTGAAGACTTAACAGAGAGAAGGGAAGCAAGAATTTGGCGCTGGTTTCAATACCAAAGCAGAATCAAGAATTTTTCCCTCCAAGTAAGTTGAGAAAGTAATACTCTTGACTTCACCAAAAACTGAGTTGTCTAGACCGAGATTTTTAGCACGGGATGTTTGAATGACCTGAGCAAGATGGTCCAATCTCTGCTGAAGATGGTTTCCTATAGTTGAGACAACATAAACCTGAACAGTTACTGGATGAGATATCGTAGATCCTTCTTCATTCGTGAGTAAGACATGAACAGTCTCATATGGCTCCAAACGCAACACAAGCTCAAGTTGACTCTTTAGCTGAGCCAGTTTATCTTGTATCTCGGATATCGAAATTCCGAGTGTAAAGTTAAACAGAATCTCTAGTACTCCAGACACAGGTCTAGATCCCAGAGGATCTACAGTGATTCCCCCGGGAAATTTCAAAACCTGAAATGAAGTTGGCTTCCCAAAACTTGATGTGGTCAGATTCATATTCCATCTTTGAGAAAACAGCTTAACAAAAGACGTTCGCAGTGAAGTTAAGTCGTCTTTTTTTATTGTGTAGTCAGGAGGGACAGGCAGAACCGCAAACTCCACATCTGTGTGATTAGATGCATCTGATTGATGCAGAGACAGAATAGTCACCTGCTCACCAATAAATGGCTATTAGAGCTCTAGAAGTAGAAATTAGAGCACTATATATAGTGCAAGCATATATATATACCTTGGTGTTCTTAAGATCTATACTCCGAAAGATATCCTTCTCTAGTCTTCGTTTATGGGAAATAACCTCAGAAGTTGGTTTATGAAGTCTAAAGTATGCTTGTGCTGATGCTGACAAAGTAAGACTAAAATCATCAGAAGAAAATTCAAGATAGTAAGGATTTTGGAGCATTGAGATATGTGTGTCATACATAAGATCTTTCACCGGTTAAAAATCTAAGCTTATTATGAGATCACACATTTCACACTTGGAAGGAGATTCGAATAAGAAAGGAACTTAATGAGAATATGTGCATCAAAAATGAGAAATGCTTCAAGACATCAAGACTAGTTAGTTGACTAAAATCAGAGTACTTAAAGTCTCCACCTTTAAAGCAGCAACTATAAATCAAACAAAATTGAAGGTTAGTAAACTAAATTTCTGTATAAAATTGCCATAACAGTAATTCTTGTATCCAGAAAAGTCCAGAAAACTAGTATGTTACTGAGAAATCATACCAAAATTATCCCGAGAAGCTGAACAAAAAAAAAAAAAAATCAGCTTTTGTGTTGAAAGACACTTACCAGTGAGTTTAACTATCTCATCGGCGTCGAAATGAGACGGGGATCGACGCGGGAATAAGCAGAAGATCGCAGAAAGAAGAATCGCAAAGCTAAGGGCCAAAAAGATGACACATCCGAGACCAAACAGACGCGACAGAGCAGAGGAACAGCTCCGACAGAAGAAACGAGGGTTCTCAGGGTCGAGATTCTGCTGCTGTTGACCGTGATCGTTCTCCTTTGAGTGCTTTCCCATTGCAACAGCATCTGCAACTCAGCTCGCTGGTAAACTCAGAATCTTTGATAAACTCTGTATCTTTTGGGTTGAGAGAAAATGAGTTTAGGGAAGAGAGAAAGGAGAGGATTTTGTCCTAAGGAAGAAAGTTGGCTCAACCAACGTTGAGAGCAGAAGCAAAAGGGGACTAATTAGTAATGGTGGTGTGAGAGAGTAAACAACTAAACTAAAAAGAATAAGAGTCTTCCTTGAAAAATCTCATTTTAAACAATACAGAAACACTGGGTAATTTATTCATGTCAGACATGAAAATGCACTATATAATATGCATCTAGCTAAATTATACATGTTAGACATGAAAATGCACTGAATAATATTCATCTAGCATTATGCTAAAATAATTTAGAATAAAGGTTATTTAATTTAAGATTAAACAATTTTTAAAAGATTTAGAAGTTGTCAACAAATTACAAAAACGAATCAAACTCTTAATCATTGTTTATATTTATACAAATTAAACCATCAATATGTAGACCAAAAAAACAATACACAATAAGCTCACCGGCATTAAGCTCACCGAAATTTATGTCACTTTTTTTTACGTACACAATAATAATTTTACTTTAGATTTTTTTTTTAAATCTTAAATTGCATTAGTTTTCAAATTAATTAATTATACGGTTTGGTGGTGCTTGATTGGATTTTGGTTTATCAAAATGAGATACCATTTAATAAGTATAAACAGATTTGTATCCCGTTTGAAAAAAATAAAATAAAAATAAAATAAAAATACGTAAAGTGGCGAAATGTTTTTGAAAAGAGATCTCTTTCTCTTTTCAAAATTTGAAACTCCGCCTTCCGTCTCCTCACGCGCCACCTTCTGAATACTCTTTTTCCCACTTTACAAATACTCATATCCCTCCCCTCGCTCCCACTCTCACTGTCCCTCTTTCTCTCCGAGATTCAGATTTCTCCCCCAGAGAGTTAGAGACTCCGATTCTTTCTATCGCAGAGATTCTAATGCAACCCAGATTTAGATATTCATACAGTAAGAACCTCTCTCACCCAAATTCTATTGCCTTCTTCGAATCTACTCTTCTGGGTTTTCCTTTGTTTACCTGTGTTCGATTCGTTGCATTCACCAGCTGCATTTCATCTCTACCCACCAAAATTTATGTGATGAATCTCTGTTTACTATTTATGTCCATTTGCTTTATGAATCTCTGTTTACTGTTCATATCCATTTGCTTTATGATTTGGTTCCCTTCCAATTCGTAACTTGGATTTTGTGGGTTCTCTCTCTGGATTTATCATCTTGTAGAGATTTTGTAAAATGTGGGTTCGGTCTCCTCTTCGTTTTCTGTCGGTTTCAATTTTGTAGCTATTTTCCTAGGTTTGCTTGCTTTCGTCTGGTTTTTGAGATAACAATGAGCGGAAAAGTCGAGCAATTATCAGATCTAAACTGTGATCTTGTAGGGATTTATAGTTCTTGAATGTTCTTATGTCAAGATCCAGACATTCAGATCCGCATTCATTTCGCATTTATGAAAATATGGCGGGCGTTGAGAATTTCTGGGCTTACTTGTAGAGACGAGCTTTCTCTTTGATAAATCCATTGATTTATAATGCGAAATATTAGGATGATTTACTTGTAGTGGATTTTATGAGAATATATGTATATGGTTACGTTTATTAGCTGACTGCCAACTGTTCGATGAAATGTCTCAGCCAACATGGAGTCCCTTCCTGATGCGCTTCTTCAATACATTCTTTCCAACCTCACCGAAGCAAGGGATGTCGCTGCTTGCAACTGCGTCTCCAAGCGATGGAAAGAGTCTACTGACTCTGTTAAGAGCATTAAATTCCCCAGAAACTCATTCGATAGCATCTCGGAGATTGCTGATTCCGACACCATAGTTCTCAAGATGATCTCGTCTTTTCGTCGTCTTGAGGAGCTTGTGGTGTACAGCCCGTTCTCTAGCACAGGCCTAGCTTCTTGGATGATTCATGTGGGTCAATCTCTTAGGCTTTTGGAGCTGAGAATGGATAACCTCACTAGTGATGCTCAAGAGGGTCCTTTGAAGCTTGACTGCATTGGCTCAGCCAAAAATCTGGACACTTTGAAGCTTTGGGGTGTTTTGATGATGAGTCCTCCGAAGTGGGATATGTTCCCAAACCTTCGTAGCCTTGAAATAGTTGGAGCAAGATTGGACGATTCCACGTTGTGTCAGGCTCTACGTGCATGCCCGAACCTGACTAACTTTCTTCTACTAGCTTGCGAAGGTGTTAAATCCATATCGATCGATCTACCATACTTGGAGCACTGTAAGCTGGATTTCTTTGGAGTAGGTAACAGCTTGCTGTCCCTCACGAGTCCGAGAATAGTGTCACTTGACGTTCAAGGCTGTAGCTGGATCAGTGTCCCTGAGACCAGATTCTTAAAGAACCTATCCATCGCTAATACTGCTGGTAAACATAACAAGTCTTGGGTTTAACTTGTTTGGTCCCATTTACCATTTGTAGATGTCATTAGTCTTACTTTGTCTTCTTTATTGACTCTGATTGTTTGCAGGGAGAGTTTACATGGTAGATTTCCGTAACCTTTCATCGCTTGAGGCTTTGTCAATTCGAGGCGTACAATGGTGTTGGGATGCGATATCCATAATGCTGCATCAAGCAAGAGACGTGAAGCATCTCTTTATGAAGGTCGAATTCACAGGCAATGAGGCCCTTCAACCTTTCCCTGAGATTGATTTTGTAGAGTTCTTCAATAACCATCCCAAGCTTCAAAAATTTGACATCCATGGAGCAATGTTCGCTGCACTTTGCCAGAAAAACAGCCTAAAGAAGGTAAACTAATATTTTCTTCATTACAACCCTTCCCTTTCATTCAAAGTCGTTATCAATTGTGTTTAAAATACATTCTCTTTGCAGCTTGAGACAGGATTTGCAATACCGTGTCTGGAGGAAGTTGTTATCACAGTGAGATCTCCGTTGAACGCAGAACAGAAGATGAACACGCTTGAGTCGCTTGTGAAATACGCGAAAGGTCTGAAACGAATGGTGATAAGGGTCCTTCGGATGAAGAGCAGCCACAGCAGTGCAGATGATTTCTGTGATGATATCTGCAAGTTCAAGCACATGAACAACCATCTTGTTCTAATAGAATGAAATTCATTCTTTTTTTGGCTGCTAATCATAGTTTCGGCCATTAATTTCTGTTTCTCAATTCTGTTAGCTGAGCATTTCTGGTTAGAACTCTCGAGTAATTTTTGTTTCATCATTCATTGTTATGAACTTTATGACTCTGATTCCAGTTGTCTTTAAAACAAATAATTATATTTATGGCCGCATTTCTTAATTTAGTTTTACTGTTGTGTTATTTTACTAGCATGAGTTGTATACTAGCTTTGTTGAGTTTAAGGGTAAGTATGCCAATCAATTAAAAAAAAAAATTGTTGTCCAATTATGTATAATGTAAGATCAAGAAGATAATCTCCTAAAAACAAGACAAACCTCAGATTAAGTTACATTATTAATATACACTTACCAAAATAAAACGGGATAAACGCAAAACGCGCACCACCAACAATTTCAAAACCAAAAAACGTATCTATATATAACAACAAAGAGTCCCGGCACAAAAATTACCTCGGCTAATTTCTTCTCAACTAAACTAACACAGATTTAAATAGAAACATAAATAAAATGGCGGGCCGCGACAATTTCCAGCTGCGTTTCGCGGCTGTCGCGGCAGCCGCCGCCGTATTGATCTTCCTCGTTTCAGGGCAAGTCGCGGAGGCGTCGCGTATGATGAACATCTGCTCTCACACCTCGTATCCATCTCTGTGCAGGCCTTTGGTGAAGCGTGTCACGAACCCAAGAAGAGCTACGCACCGAACCATCCAGGCTTTGGAGGCTAAGACGAAACTGGCTCTAGCCGATGCGGCTAGGTACAAAGACGGTAACCAAGCGATAGCCACGTGTTACGCGACGCTGAGCGACGCGGTCTACAATCTGGAGAGCGCGAGGAAGAGCATAAGGAAACGCGATGTGCTGGCGATGAACACGTTTCTAACTGCGGTTGTGTCTGATTACGGCGCGTGTATGGACGCGTTTATTGAGACGAAACAGGTTAATACGGTCCAGAATGTAGTGGTTGACCTGAGGAAAATTAGCAGCAATTGCTTGTCGTTGTCTACATTGATTAGATGATCAACATTTTATTATTATTTTGTTCTCAAAAACAAAGACTACTAATTAATCTCGTATAAATGAAGAAGAAGAAGAAGAAGAAACAAAAATCTTAACTAATTAAAAAAATGGGTTTTTTCTTTGTTGTCGTTTTTGTTTTTGGGGGAGCTGTTTGTTGATCATCATTATTCGTCGTGTAAACGCCACTGGGTGTAATTGATTTATATTTGATTTCGTGTAATTAATTGCTATTAGAATTTTTTTCTTTTTTCATATGGTAATTTCAACAGTTTGCCGATATGATTGTGCTTTCTCCTTTTTGGAACCACCTTACATTTTAAACGACAGTCATCAACGATATGTGAATGCCATTTTCACCTTTTTTAGAAAGTTAGTCTGCTATATAAACATCCAAAATTGGGTACACACATTTTTCAAAAGATAGAACGTAATTATATCTCAGTTTCGTACGTACGTACTACGTAGTAGTTAATATTATAATGGTATTTGATTTCTTTTACGACCAAAAGAAACCATATGATGTTTTAACTTTCTCAAAGGTCTAAAAATATTTCACCAAAAGATCTCACAACACTTAGTAAAACACTACACCACCCCAAATATAACCTCAAAAGTTTCCTATTTTTTTCATCACCATTAAACTTATTGCCTTGTTGCAAAAATCATAAACATCATAGAAAATTATAATTTTGCTTCTATTTAAGATATATTTTTTCGTAATGTGTAAACTCACCACACAAAAAACATGTGCATGATTGAGCAAGTGGGCTTTGGACACTACAAGAATAGAAAGATAAACAAAATATCTTATGTAATTCGTGGTTTGTGAATACAAGAAGAAGAAAACATGTCGACCAAAGGAAAAAATATACAAAAGAAAGATGCATAATGATAAAATATCAAAACAAAAGGACAAAAACAGAAAAACAGGAAGAAAATAAAAAAAGCGAAAATCAACGGTGAGAAGAAGATTCTGTATAAAATAAGAGTCTGAAAATATCAAGAAAAGTGGGGTCCACAGGTACCGTCCATCAACGTATCAGAATCCCACGAGACTGGACTCTCTTTCCCGGTACCGTTCCTCCTACGTGCTCGAATCACGATGCACCACGTGGCATAATCGCAGGATAAAGTGCCGTTTTACTTCGATTTCACGTGAGTGTGTGAACTGTGAAGTGAGAGTGAAGAAGGCAAAGAGCCAAGAAATCCAGTACTCACTTTCAAAAATCACCGAAATTCGCGGATCTTTGTTTGTGATTTTTCAGATTCTTCGTCTCGGCTCGTCAAACTCAAGTTTCGGGCTGCTCACCAGGTAAATTGCTTGTGAATTTCGAATTTCGTGCTTCTGTTCTCGGTTTTTGTTGATTGATGCTGCTATTGCGATTGCAGTGTAGATATTTTGCATGCTTGACTGACATAAAAAGTATAAAAACAATTTAATTTGATTCAAATGGCAAGTTTTCGCCACAAAAGAGAAAAGTGAAAGTGAAGGAGGGAAAAAAGTGAAGAAGATGTTCTCTATGTGATCTCGTGTCGAATTTTCGGCTTTGCTTCATTTAAGAGAGACGATTCTTTTCTTCTGTGTGTATATTGCACTTGTTGCCATTAGCTGAAGTAACTATTGTCTTCAAACTGAAAAAGGAAAACATCAAAAAGAAGAAAAGTGTTTTTTGCGTTGTCAGATTCTTCTTTTGAGACAGTTTGTATGTAGCTTGTTTGTTTATTCATCTATGCAAAGCTTGATTGTTTTTGCTAATCCATCGTTTTAGATAATCAATACTTTACTTATCAGATCCGGCATTACTTTCAGCGACAAGAAGAGTGACAAGAAATCATGAGTAACTCTGTAGTGCATAACTTGTTAAACCGGGGTTCAATTCTTCCTGTGCATTTTGAACATCAAAACAAGCTCAACACATCTTGCGTTCCTGCTGTTTCTGTGTACCAAACCGCAACAGTAAATCCGGCAGTGGGAAATTTTGGCAGATCAAATCTGGGTACAAAACTGTACGGGAAAGGTCTTATAAAGACAGGACGGAGGCTGATCACTGAAACAGGAAGACCTGTCTCATTTGTTCCACGAGCGGTGCTTGCCATGGGTCCTACTTCCCAGGTACATTTGTTTTATTTTGTACAGATCCTTTTCAGTAGTATTGCCAACTACTCAATGTATGTTAGGGGTTTTATGTCCAAAACTTGTCATGGATCTGAATATGCAGTTCTCTGTCGAATGATAGTTTTGCCTGCTTGTTTGACCTGATTTTTCCCTTATAAACTATGGTAGTAACTGCAACTACACATATGTTTATGAAACGTGTGGTGCTTGTACGTTGCTCTCGCAATTGAATGCATGAGATGGTTATCATGTTGATATTTGCTGAAAAAGTGTTTCATTCTTGAACAGGCAGCAGAAAAATTTAATCTTGATGGAAATATTGACTTACTGGTAAGTGTAGCGTTTCGAATAATGGGTATTATCCTGTTGGGATTTTTAGCCATATATATTTATGTGATGGTAAGTTTTATGCATATAATTGAATAGGTTGAAGTCACTTCTACATCTGTAAGAGAAGTAAATATCCAGATAGCTCATACAAGTGACTCATTGCTTCTACACTGGGGTGCAATACGTGACAACAAAGAGTATGTCCTTGTTAAGTGACATTCAACTTGCCTAGTTCTTCTCAAAGCTAATCAGAAAATGGCATATGGTTTTACTAACATTCTTTCTTATTTTCCATGTCAGAAAATGGGTACTACCTTCTCGCTGTCCGGATAGAACTATAAACTACAAGAACAGAGCGCTTAGAACTCCATTTGTGAAAGTAAGTTTTAAATTTATTCCTCAACGTACATAACAATGCTATTTGTGATGGTATGATTTCCAGCTGATACCAGTGTAAAGATTTTCAAATGGTGTTTCTGGTTCTCATTTACAGTCCGGTGCCAATTCTAACCTTAAACTAGAGATAGATGATCATGCCATACACGCTATTGAGTTTCTTATATTTGACGAAAGTCGGAACAAATGGTGAGCTTGTTTTCTCTTCTTCCTACTATTTACACCAGAACATAAAGCTACCTAGGTTTGTTTAGGTTCTGCCGTTTCTCATAAACTTGACATATGCAGGTACAAAAATAATGGTCAAAATTTTCGTATAAACTTACCCATGGAAAGGAATGTGGAACACAATGTTTCTGTTCCTGAAGATCTTGTACAGATTCAAGCATATCTTAGATGGGAACGTAATGGTAAACAAAATTACACCCCTGAGAAAGAGAAGGTAAGAAGTCGTACCTATACAAGCATATCTTTATGGATATTTTCTTTGATACCTTTTAAAATTCTTCACCTTTTATGTTGTTCTGGGATTCACATAAAGAGGAATCATCATTCTCATCAGGCATTTAGTTGAGTTTATCACCGACACAAGCTTCCACCATGTTTCAGTTAGATGCTAATTCTGATATATTTGACTGATCAGGATGAATGACGGATTAGCTAAGTTGAAAATGCTCTTGATTGAGTTTTCCTAATAGGGTATTAAAGTTGGAACGGTTGGTTCTTGGATCATAAATGGAAACAAGATACATTTTTTGGAACATATTACGACAATAAGACTTGAATAAGATTGGATGCTGTCATGAAATATATTATGCTGATCTCTCTGGTTGACCTGTATAGATCTCAGTTGCATATATATCAAATACTCTACATTGTGGTTACATCCATTATTTCATAGTTAAGCAGATTAATTAGTCTCTGGCTAATAGGAGGAGTATGAAGCCGCCCGTACAGAGCTACGGGAGGAAATGATGAGAGGTGCTTCAGTGGAAGATCTCCGAGCAAAGTTGTTGAAGAAAGATAACAATAGTGATTCTCCGAAATCTAAGGGAACTTCATCCAGTGGACGGGAGCAAACAAAAGTTACCAAGCAACAGAAGGAGAAAAAATATTATAGCACTGAGAAGATTCAGCGCCAGGGAAGGGACCTGAATAAGCTTATTTGTAAGCACGTTGCTGATTCTGTTGAACCAAATTCCAAATCCTCAACTGAACCACGGGCCTTAAAAACTCTCGAGATATACGCCAAAGCAAAGGAAGAACAAGAAACCACCCCAATCTTTAGCAAGAAAACATTAAAATTTGAAGGCAGCGCGATTTTGGTCAGTTGGGAGTATCTATCTTGCTCTCTTTTCTATTTCTATCCGGGTTAGATATACATCCGACAAGTATCACTGTTCCCTCTATTTAGGTTCTTGTCAAAAAACTTTCCGGAAAGACGAAAATTCACTTGGCAACTGATTTCAAAGAGCCGATTACCCTTCACTGGGCTTTGTCTCAAAAAGGTGGAGAGTGGTTGGTAAGATTTTTCTTTTTTATTTCTCAAACAAGAGCATACTTTTGAGAGTAATCGCATTTCTGGTTTGGTCTCTTTTTGTCTGAGTTTATGAGTCATTGACACTGCAGGACCCACCTTCAGATATACTGCCACCAAACTCTTTGCCAGTACGCGGCGCTGTTGATACACAAATGACCATTGCTTCAACAGATCTTCCTAGTCCGGTATTACTAGTCGACTCTATTATATCCTATAAGCCTATAGCATTTGGAACCAGACATGGTATGTAAAAGGCCTCATGTTAACCAATAATGTAGGTTCAAACTTTTGAGCTGGAAATAGAAGGCGACAGTTACAAGGGCATGCCGTTTGTACTCAATGCTGGTGAAAAGTGGTTTAAAAATAATGACAGTGACTTTTATGTGGACTTTTCTCAAGAAGAAAAACATGTTCAGAAGGTTCCTCTTCTTTCTTGGTCGCCTGAAAATCAATTTCAATTGCATCCTATCGCCCCCTAGATACTTAAAATTTTTAATTTTTCCATTTGGAAGGATTATGGTGACGGAAAAGGTACAGCCAAGCATTTACTGGATAAAATCGCAGATTTGGAGAGTGAGGCCCAAAAGTCTTTCATGCATCGGTCAGTTTTCTGCTCAAGCATTCTGGTTCCTATTTTCGTGTCTTGGACTTGAAGAAGCTTAACTCCTTTTGTCAAAACATTTGCTACTTAAAGTCCATTCCAAGCCAATGAACCAACTTTACATGTTTTTTTAGTTCTCTTGGGTCATCACTTTTCAAACTTTTTCGCCTATAAGGATATATTGTTTTAAAATTCTAAAACTTAGTCATTGATTGTTCCATATACGATGATGACTAAAACAGTGATTGATCCATGTTCCATGATC